CTTTCCCCCTTCTGCCCCCACCTCCCCCCACCCCCTGCTGCTTCCATATTTCCTCTCCAGTGTATATATTTATCCTAGAAAGTATTTACATGCAGAGGTAAACATAGAAAATGTACATGCAAATGGGTACAGGTAAGCAGGTGTTTTTTTTAGACCCTATTGTATCAAATCCAACAGTGTAGTCCTCTGTGCCCATGTGGTGCTCACTTATGTCTTAGGCCTTTGTAAGTCACATAAATGATTACTAGCAAGCTGCTAGAGAAACTGCTTCTGCATGTGCCAAACTGCTCTGTTGTGTAAGGTGCTTTAGGGACAGTTTTCCTATTGGTAAATTTGGCATAACTCCATTATCTTTTAGGAACAATAATATATTACACACATACAAAATTATTGTAAAGAAAAATTGAAATCTTTAAACTATATAGACAGTTTTAGCAATGTAGGATATACCTGTTGGGCGTTCAGCACGAAAGGTTTTTTTGGCAGATCCTTCGCGCTCATACGAGCAAATATATTCCTTGTTGATTTCCTTATTTACAGTCAGCCAGCTGCTGACTGAGTATGAGTCTGCATCCTCCTGAGGTGGCCAAACTTCTCCCTGTACTACATTATCTGATATTTTCTTTCCCTCTTTATCTTCCCAATACATCCGAATAACATTCGGGAAAAAATTATGAACGAGGCAAACATATGTTTCCTTTGAGTTCTCCGTGTGATACAGCATCTCGTCTTGTGCTTTAACTGTTGCTGCTTTATCTGGTTTTGGAGGGAGAGAAGTTGTTTGTAAATTAAGCATATTCAAAATAGACTGCTGTGCTTTTGAAAATAATACGTATAGAATTCACTGAGAAGCAACATCTCGCATCTAGTTTCCCCAAATTACTTTAAAACACATAGCCCTCAATGCTTAGCATCAGCAAAATAGGTTTATCCTATCTTTCATTTTATCTGTCAAAAATACATTTTAATTGTATGGAGTCTATAAATGTTATAATCATTTATTCAGCACTGCCGATAGGAATAAAATTGTTCATGTATGACTAACTAAGGACTTGGATATGTGAATTGTAATGATTCCTATGTTTGAGTTGAAAGTAATTTCTTGTGGAACTGAAGAAATTGTGTGTCTCAACTTGGTTTTGAAACTCATGGTATATTAAACACTTTTTGATAATTCAGTTGTCATTTCTGCTTCATTTCAAATCAGATGCATGATTGCCTAAAAGAGCTGAACATGGAGAAGATGGAAAATAATAGATACTTTTCATTGGCTTGGTCACACTTGCAAACTTGTGAAAGGGTTTGCTCAGACTTTCTTAAAATGCATGCCTTCGATTTATAGAACGAGCAGACAGTTTGGTAGTCTTGAGAGTGTTCAGATTACATCTTGATACTATCTACTGCACAAAACCAAAACAAAACACTAATTGACAGTTCAGAATGTTTAATTGCATTTTCTAATAAGGTAATAAATATTGAGGAAATCAGTTAAGATAGCATTAACATCCCAGACTATCTTCAATTCTTATGCCTTTGCCAGGGAAAATTCAGTAACTTAAAGGAACATTTTGGAAGGCATAAATGTACCCTTGAGATTTTTAAAAATGTAACTAATACTTGAATAAAAATGATTTTTGAAAGCAAGATCTGAAAGGTTTCTCTCCAAAATTCTCTAGAATGGTCCAGGACAAATTTATCTCCTGAAAAACTGTGTTTGTTCTTTATTGACAAACAGGTTTGCAACTTTAAGAAGAAAGTTAGAAAAGCAGTCTTTATGTCTTTGAGTCTTCCTAGTGGACTCCAAGATGAACATGAGTCGGCAGTGTGACGAAGCCATCAAAAAAGCCAATGCCACTTTATCGTGCATCAGTAGATGCATGACGAATAGGTCCAAGGAGGTGATACTTCCCCTCTATCGGGCGCTGGTCAGACCGCAGTTGGAGTACTACGTGCAATTCTGGGCGCCGCACTTCCAGAGGGATGTGGATAACCTGGAGAGGGTTCAGAGAAGGGCCACTCGTATGGTTAAGGGCCTACAGACCAAGCCCTACGAGGAGAGACTAGAGAAACTGGATCTATTCAGCCTCCGCAAGAGAAGGTTGAGAGGCGACCTTGTGGCTGCCTATAAGTTCATCACGGGGGCACAGAAGGGAATTGGTGAGGATTTATTCACCAAGGCGCCCCCGGGGGTTACAAGAAATAATGGCCACAAGCTAGCAGAGAGCAGATTTAGATTGGACATTAGGAAAAACTTCTTCACAGTTAGAGTGGCCAAGGTCTGGAATGGGCTCCCAGGGGAGGTGGTGCTCTCCCCTACCCTGGGGGTCTTCAAGAGGAGGTTAGATGAGTATCTAGCTGGGGTCAT